CTCAGAGCGACCCTGTACAGGGTTTTCGAGGCTGTAAATCTTTCCGGGAGCAGAAAGCCTCATCTTTCTTGTGCGGAACAGCTGGTAGTTTGGAACTGCTGACCTTGCGGTTCGCAGCCTGATTTGTAACCACTACACTATGGTGAAAACCACTAAATGCTGAAACATTATTGTAATTGATCTTAAGACTAATTTAGACATTCAGCATTGTCCTATGTTTATAAGACCCTGTTTCCATGCCATTTAAAACCTTATTATCAGTCTCGGGGTTTGCTCTTTTTAGGTGCCGTGGGCACAAATACAGATCTCTTCTACTCTGCTGATCAGGTAGCTATCGCCCAAACTTCTTGACACAAATAAGGGGCTACATCAGTTTCTTGAAACATTTCAACTTGTTGTCCATGAATTCCTGGAGACTTGTATTTCACCAATAATTCCAGTGCACCTTGGACTTCTTCTATTAGTACTACTGGTTCTTGATTCCATTGAAATGGTTGAACATTGGCTATTTCTTTTTGATATAGTGACTATATATTCCTTCCATCTTCTTTTGATGCTTTCCACATCATTCAATATATTTTGCCCATTGTTGTTGTGACCTCATAGGGTTTCCAAGCAGCAGCTGGTGGGTTTGAACCACTGAACCATCAACCTAGTGGTCTGCAGTCCAGAGTTAAACTACAGCACCACAACAGGATTTTGCCCATAGAATCCTTCAATATTACACCTTTTGGCTTAAATGTTTTCTCCAGTTCTTTCAACTTGAGAAATGAGCGTTTTCTTCCCTTTTGATCTCTAACTCCAGGTCTTTGTACATTTTATTATTTGACCTTATCTTCTCGAGCTGCCCTTTGAAATTTTCAGTTTAGCTCTTGTACTTCCTCATTTTTCCAGTTACATCAGCTTCTCTATGCTCAAGAGCAAGTTGCAAAGTCTCTTCTGATATCCATTTTGTCTTTTCTATTTTGTCTGTCTTTTTAATAACCTTTTGCTTTTTTCTTGTATGATGTTCTCGATGTCATCTCACAATTCTTTTGGTCTTTAGCAGTGGTGATTAAAATATGCATCAAATCTGTTCTTGAGATGGTCTCCAAATTCAGGTATGATACATTCAAGGTTGTATTTTTACTCTTGTGGACTTGTTTTCATTTCCTTCAGTTTCCACTTGAACTTGCATATGAAAAATTGATGATCTGTTCTTAGATTGACCCCTGACCTTATTTAGATTAATTAGCCTGTTCTTATTTAGTTGACCCCTGACCTTATTTAGATTAATGATATTAAAGCTTCTTAGCCATCTCTTCACACAGATGTAGTCAATTTGATTCTTGTGTTTTCCATCTGGTGAGGTCCATGTGTTTGTTGTTGTTGTGAAGTGCTGTCGAGTCCGACCCATAGTGACCCTGTATAGGGTTTCCGAGGAGCAGCTGGTGAGCTTGAACTGCTGACCTTGCAGTTCAAATGGCTGTGCACTCTGGCGCATTAATCCACAGTGCCACACCAGGACGCCTCCGTGTGTATTGTTGTTGTTGTTAAGTAGCATGGAGTCGGTTCCGACTCATAGTAACCCTGCAAAGGGTTTCCGAGGCTATAAACCTCTACGGGAGCAGAACGCCTCATCTTTCTCCCGTGGAGCCACTGGTAGTTTGGAACTACTGACCTCGAGGTTGGCAGTGCGACTCATAACCACTACGCTACCAGAGCTCCTGTTTATTTTGCTGAAAAAAGGTATTTGCAATGAAAAAGTCGTTGGCATTGCAAAATTCTATCATGCAATCTCCAGCATCATTTCTATCACTAAGGCCATATTTTCCAACTACTGATCCTTCCTCTTCCGACTTTTGCATTCCAATCACCAGTAATGATCGATGCATCTTAATGGGATGTTTAATCAATTTCAGATTGAAGAAGTTGGTAGAATTTTTCAGTTTCCTCGTCGCAGACTTTAGTGGTTGGTGTGTAAATGTGAATAACCGTAGTATTAACTAGTCTTCCTTGTAAGCATATGGATACTGCCCTACTACAGACAGCCTTGTACTTCAGGATATATCATGAAATGCTCTTTTTGGAAGTGAATTCAATTCCAATCCTCTTCAATTTATTGTTCTCAGCACAGTATGATTGTTGATTGAAAATGGCTAATACCAGTTCATTTCAGTTCACTCATGTCTAGGATATCAAACTTTATGTGTTCTATTTCATTTTTGACAATTTCCAACTTTCCTAGATTCTTATTTGTAAGTAAGAAGAACTAAATTTAAGCTAGAAAATTGTATTGGACCAAAGTCGAGAATTTTTATCACCCCAGGAGTCTCTCAGAACAGAACAGGGCTCGATTATAATGTATTTGAAAGTCTTTTAACATGCAGGGAAACGGTTTCCAGGTGAAGGAAGCTTCTGGATATGCCATATGCTGGCACAGAATATGAAGGAGCCCTGGTGGCATAGTGGATTATGTGTTGGGCTGCTAACAGCAAGGTCAGCAGTTCAAACCTACCAGCCACTCCATGGTGTCTCTTCCCATACAGATTTGGAAAGTCTACAGAATTCCCTGGAGGGGATTTTTATAAGCAGATTTTTATTAGCAGCAAATACATTTTTTCAGCAATTTTTCTTCCTGCCTTTCTTTTTTTCATTTTCAATGAATTTGACTTAGATGTAATAAAGACTTCAGTTTTAAAGGCTTCCAGAAAATAGAGCCCTCCTTGAATCGGCATACATATGGTAATATGAAAGGCCTAACCAATTGCTTCAATAACAGTGCAGTCTTTTCAATCCTTATTAAACACATGTCACATCACTGACGGCAAAAAACTCGAGTCTTTTCTAACACAGCTTGTGATTTTATAGAAGTACTTCTACCCCTTATGACTGACTACCTGAAGCCACATTAAGGTCAGGACTCTCTTCAGATGTCACATATGGTAACTCTGTTATGATGAAGCTGAAATGATTCCCAGGGATAAATGACCATCTACAGGCAAACTACAGCTGGTTTCGCTGCAATCAGGGAGCCCTGTTTCAGCCCACTCCGTTTCTAAGAATAGTAAGGCTGTTTTTAAGTTACTGACTGATTTTAAATTGCTAAATCTTTTGTTGTGGCTACCTCTCTCAATTTTCATAATTCAAGAAATACCTACCCTCAGTTTCCTGACTGTGAGCTTCCAGCACATTAGTAAAAGAAAACTTATTTATATACGGAGTCCTGGTGTGACGTGTAGGATAAACACAGGGTTGCTAACCACAAGGGTGGTGGTTCAAATCCACTTGCCACTATTCAGAAACCCGATCCAGGGTTGCTATAAGACAGAAACAACCTGAAGGCACTTAACAACAACAACACATATGATGGTGGCAGCTGTGTGCCATCAAGTCAGTACTTTACAACAACAACAAAAACACGAGTCCTGGTGTGACGCTGTACGAAACACAATGGACGGCTAACCACAAGGTCAGCATTCAAACTTACCAGCCACTCCTCAGAAACCTTATACAAGGTTGCTAGGAGTTGGAACGTACTCACTGGCACTTAACCACACCAACAATAATACAGCTGTGTTGATACGGCAGTTTGCCTCCTGTAAAGATTTACTCTTCTGAAAACAGGGTCGCTATGAGTCAAAAGCGACTTGATGGCACACAACCACAACCATCACCATATATGTTGTTGTTGTTAAGTGCCATCGAGTCAGTTCTGACTCATAGCGACGCCGTATAGGGTTTTTGAGGAGCGACTCATGAGTTTGAATGACTGACCTTTTGGTTCAAACTGACCTTGCAGACCTGCACTTATCCTACAGCACCACACAAGAACTCATATATATTTATGTTGTTGTTGTTAAGTGCCGTCAAGTACACACACATATATACACACAGACACACACACATAGATATATTCATATACATATATAGAGATAAAATATTTCCATGTACTCTTTGCTATTCCAGTAACCTTAAGGTTCATTAAGAATCCGAAAGGTAAAATAGACCCACTTGAAGAAACTCTTCACTACAAATTTATTGAGTGAATGAAAGAATAATTGATAGAAAGAATGAACACATAAAGTCATGTAAACCCTAAATGAGTCTTAGTTAAGTAAGTCACATAGAAGCTATACTCTTTGAAGAGGGAGAAAGCTAAAAAGACAAGGGTGTTAAGGAAGAGAAAGTGTACGCAACAGGGATCTGCTGAATTTTGTTCGAAACTAGAACTCTGAAAATTTTGAGACATAATTGCAGATAATTTTTCATATATTATTCTTTACCGTTGTGCTGTATCCTTACTTTACCTTTAAAAAGCATGAAAAATGACAGGAAAAAATAAAATTCTTGGATGTCTATGGCCCAGCTGCTCTACAAAGTGAACAGCAACAATGTAAAATCAAATAAACACACCCAGACAGCTTGACTCCGGAAGTATATAAACGGCGGGTGACTGGATGCTGGAAGTGACGAAACAACTTCTGGATACAATTATGGAACTGAGTGGGGCTGGTGATCAGGGGCTATCAGAACAACTGGCAAACGGAGGGAAACCAGGAAATGGTCACTGTTCAAGGATGAGTCTCCAAGCGCATGGGAAACCGAGATCAACATTTGCAGTCTCATGCTAAGTTTCCACGTAAAACACCTACACCCATAGGCCTGGACGAAATCAAATACTCTGTAATGTTAACAATGCAGATGCAGCAATGAGCAACCCCCAGGTTTCGGGAAATAAGCAACTTCCGGACCCTGAACCTCAGTTATCTTATACAATTGGCTCAATAATACCTATTCCACAGGCTGGTGCGGAAGAGGAAATGAAACACCTGTAACGTAGATTTTCAAGTAACTAAACCCAAAAACCAACCCTTTTTGACTCCCATTTGATGCCGACTCCTGGCGATCTCCAAAGTACACTGGTTTGTTTTTGCTCTCGTCACTGACAGATAGCTGAAAGTCCCCTCTGTACCTACACCACACAGTGAATGGACAAAATGCACCTGAGGAGAGCTCACCGACAAACAGCTGGCTGTTGAGCTGTAACAAGGCATGCCCATCGGCGGGGGCAGGCTGCGTCTTTCGAGAGAGCTGATCCACTCCAATGGACGCCTCTTTCACGTTCCTTTCGACTCTAACGTGGTGCCACTGGTTGTCATTGAAGTGAGTGGGTGACCGCACTGAGATCTCAAAAGGCCCATTCCCCACGTCAAATGAAAAGGTCACTTCCACCGGAGCTGGAAACATTAGACATGACGGGTGCTCCAGTTAGTTCATAAAGCAGTGAACTGAGTCCTTAATACTCAGGAATGGCATCACAGAATAAAAATCACTAAATATAAAGACAATGTTGAGAGTTTTATGGCAGGAACTAATGACATCCTTATGGCCTGATGTGGGACGATAGGTACAATACATTTTTCTTTAGGGAAAAATATAATTTAACAAATTCACCCTCTTTTTTTATTTTATTTTAGATATACTACTAAATAGTAAAGTTTTGCTTGACAGCCACTAACAACATTGAAAACTATTACATGTACACAGAGCAAGGAAATAAAATAGCATCTGAATTGTTCTATAAAAATAATGTGTTTACAGTGACTCCAAGCTGATGTCATTTGAAAACGTTTGATAGGAATGTATTGGTAGCTGACTATAAACTATATTCACTATCAAAATGATATGACTGGTTGCTTTTCAATTAAGTAATTTGGTAACTAACAAAAATATTAGGTATTTTCTTTACATTTCATTTTCACCAACAGAATTTAAATCCCTTTTTAGGGGGGTTCTAGAGAATGCCAGTAATTTTCATACATTTACTACATATTAAAAATCAAATTCCTTTCTTATGAAAAGGCTGATTTAAAATCATGGAGTTTTAAAAACAGGCCATAATGCGAAGATTCAGTGGCCACTGTAGTAATGTACAATTAGTGAAAGGGTTTACTATGAAATCCAAGAGTCTCGTGGAGTATCTAGGAAAATCAACTCACAGCGTAGCTCTATCCGTATAAAATCGGTAATCCCCAGGTTCTCTAAAAATACTCCAGATGAAGCTGTTGTCTTAAAAAAAAAAGACACATCAGCACTGAGCTCTCCGTGGAAAGTAGGGAAATGAAGGTAGGAAGCCTCAGTATTGAAGGAAGCAGAATTCCAAAATGACCCTGTTTGTTTTTATTTATTTTTTTTTCAGAAAAGGAAGAAAGTGAAAAAGAAAATAAATTAATGAAACAAAGCGAATGACATAATTACATTTTGTTTGTAGCACTTGACTATTAATATGGTGTTAATAAATATGTAAACATACTTTTGTTCTCTTTTCTAGAACTACATAGCAGATGCAACACTTTTACATTGACTGGAATCCTGTTCTTCTGCCAATATAGAAGAGGAATAATAGCTGTAGAGATGTCTGAACTCGTATTTTATGTAAGAGAGAATAAGAAAATATCCTTAATCTCACTTCTTTTTATTTTATTTTTTCTTAATCTAACTTCCATTTTCTCCCAAAGTGATCTGAAATATAGATCTGCCAAACATTCATAGTCTTCATTTATTTGTTACATGAAAATATTAATATCTGTCTGGACATGAATCATAAAACCCTAAAGAAGCTCAAAGTACTTTCTGTCCTTACACTTTTAAGGGAAACACATCACAGAGTCACACAGCTCAACTAAGTGTCCTCATTAGTGGGTTTGGTAATTTTCTCAGCTGAAAGTGGCTTTCAAAACAGTGTTCATCTCATTAAAGACCAGGAGACTGCTTGTTCTGTGTTGATGTTCTCAGAAAAAAAGTTGCTCTCCATTCAAAATGATCTGCTACTTCCTCATAACAGTGAAAACTTAAAAACAATACTTTAATCACATTTATCTATTCTGTGCCATTTTGCAGTCTTGGAAGACAATAAATGGAAAGGTTTCTCCAAAAGTTTTTAAATGCTCAAAGGAGGCAGACAATGTTTAATAGGTCAGACCACAGACAAAAGAGATCTGAAAAACATCAACAACTTATTTATGGAATATAATTAATTATAATTGCTGTTTCAAATTCAATGCCCTATCTTTACTCCTCCCTTCATTTTCCCCCCTTGAATTTCAGATATCTGAAACTTTTCTGTTGGAAGAAAAAAAAAAAAAAATCAAACTGTGGGCCCTACATCTCGGTATGTGTGCAAACTAAAATATAAATGAGGTGGCATGAAATGACAGGAGCTCAGTTTGGCTAAATCAGCATGGTAGTTGAGGGGTATGATCAGAGAAAGGAGCTATGTACTGCCTCTGCTGCCAATAGGTTCTCGGCACAGCCAACATAAACAGCCCTCCTCCACACACACTCACACCCCTGGAGAAAATTCTAGCCAAATTACCTTCCCGGAAAAAGATATATTTCTCCTCTGAAGTTAGAACAGCAGTTTCAAAACAACAATTCATTATGCTGGTCAATAACAGACACTTCCTGAGAGTTAAAAAAAACAAAACAAAAAAAAATCACAGACCTGATTCCGTGTTTACATGTTCCTTGGATTTTCAATGATTCCCTATAAATTCTGGACCAAACAAACCCTGATTCTCTCTCTCATTTTATTTTTTTGTTCCTTTAAATCTTCACAGGAGCAGAAAACCTCATTTTTCTCCTGCAGAGCAGCTGGCAGGCTCGAACTGTGGACCTTGTGTTTCTCAGTTCAGTGCTTATTCTACAGAGCCACCATGCTCCTTGTTGTTGTTGTTAAGTGCCGTCGAGTCGGTTCCGACCCATAGCGACCCTGAACAGGGTTTCCGAGGGTGTAAATCTTTACGGGAGTAGAAAGCCTCATCGTTCTCCCGCGGAGCAGCTGGTAGTTTCGAACCGCTGACCTTAAGGTTCGCAGCCCGATTCGTAACCACAACGCTACCATGCTCCTTAACCACAACGCTACCATGCTCCTTAGTGTTGAATAATTTATTCAGCTGAGAATCTTTAAATTTCTTTTTCTCCCTAGAGTCGAATGAAACTATGTTATCTGAATATGTCAAGCCTAGTGCTATTTTCTTTACAGCTCTTTCTCCACTTAGAAGTTTTGATTTCCAAGAAAGAATGCAAGAAAATGAAAAATATCTAGTTAGGAATAACAATACAAATGTGTGTTTTGTTTTTTAAGTTTTAATCTGACTTATTTTTTAGAAAAAAATTAGATGTCCTTTCTGTTGAAATGTGATATATGAAAATTAAAATCATGCTCTGAGTTTACATTAGAGAATATTATCAAATCTTACTGGTGTGTTTGATTAAAAAACGAGCGTTCAGAATTACATAAAGATCGAAATTAGCTCACATTGTTACATACTGTTTCTTCTGTTTCCCTTCTATGTTATAAATAGGTCAATAAAGCCTCAGATAGAAAGCTTTAAGGAACTGGCTTAAACAGGGGAATCGTTCTGTGAATTGCTGCTGTCTGTACAATGAATGCTTTCAAAGTAATGAAACAGTTTAGTACCATAGGTCGCCCAAACAGTCTCACACACAAAACAGTATCTATTTTGCCTAGTTTAACAAACCTTATTTTGCAGATTCACAAATAAGTGGAAAATGAAGTAAGAACATTTTATTGGATTAAGAAATTGCCACTAACGCATAACAATTAGAAGGAAACAAAGGCCAATATGCCCAGTCTCCCATAACACTAAAGGCAGATAATGGCTCAGCCCTTTGGGCTGTATTCAGAGCACCCTGGCCTTCCAGGCTATCTCAGGGAAAGGTGGTTGGTTGCAGAGGAAGGCTGAGCCCAGCAGGCAGATACCCTGTGGGGACAGGAATGTCTGGCTAAGGTGTTTTGAAGACCCCTGCACTGCACAGTGGCAGGCTGAATGCTATCTTTCACTGTCGGAGGAATTCCAGTCAGGACAAAATAAGATTCCTTTGATCAGCACAAACAAAAACAAATCATGACGCATTCTTCTAAGTAATGAATTCAATCATTAATAATTGATGCACGTTTTCAATTAAATTCAATATAAGGTACTAGAGATCTGAAACGAGGCCTTGGGGGAATGCTCTCTTTGATCTTCCCAGAATTATGTATGTATATTATGTATCTGTTTCTCTCTATCTGGAGTCCTGGGGTGGCTCTACAGAATAAGCATGGGGCTGTTAACCACAAGGTGAGTGGTTCAAACCCACCAGCCATTCCTTTGAAACCATAAGTATACAGGGTCACTATGAGTTGGAACCGACTCAATGGCACTTAACAACAACAACAACATCTATCTCTTTGGATACACAGTCATTTACATGAAAGAAGGATATGTACTTACTAGTTAATACTATTAGAAAGAAAACAAAACAGCTTGTTATGGAACATTTGTTTGGTTAAGAGTATGAGTGGTGTCTTAAATATTTGTTTTGTTAAACTGTTATTTATATCATTAATGTTGTTGTTGTTGTTAAGTGTCATCGGGTCGGTTCTGACCCATAGCGAACCTGGATAGGGTTTCCGAGGAGCAGCTGGTGAGCGTGAACCGCCGAACTTGCAGTTCAAACGACTTTGCAGTCTGGAGCATTAACCTACAGTGCCACACCAGGACTCCATATCATTAACAGATGATTCTTTTTAAAAGACCATAATGAGAGAAACATAATGTTCAGTCACAGTTACCTAGGGGTGAGGGGGATGAGGGTGGGGGGCTATGTCAGCTAAGGAGTGGGGGAAACTTCCTGTGGTGATGAAAATGTTTTGCAATTGACCGTGGTAACCACGGCACAACTGGGGGGTATATAAAAAGCCACTGATTCATAAGCTTTAAATAGGTGCCATGAGGTGTAGGAACCAAATCCTAATAAATCTTCTAAAAACAACCCAGACTATTTAAAGAAAAATGCATTGTTTTCCAAAATCATAGATTTCATGTCTCATATTAAAATGCATATAAAATCCCAACATGACCTTTCTTAAAAGTAAATGCAAGTATTCAAATGCCAAGGCAAAGAATAATTTACTCAGCAAATACAGCTTTCTGAACATTTAAAAATCATAAAAAAGGAAGCTGGAAAAGATGACTTTTAATTTAAGTGTTCATTTTGACATAATGGTAGATTAATATGCAATTCAAAGAAAAAATACAGAGAAATCTGTGTCTCCTTCACCCAGTTTCTCCCAAGATCAGTATCTTGTAAAGCACAGTATCACCGCCCAGATGCAACATTAATACAGCTGAGAAACAGACCAATGCCACTAGGACACGCCTCTTCCAGTAGGCGCCCCACCCACGCTCCTCCCACCCACTGCCTCCTTAACCCCAGATCTATCTAGCCTGATTGTTGATGTTGTTAAGTGCCACCAGGTAGGTTTGACTCATAGCTACCCAGTACAAGGTTTCCGAAGAAGAGGAGCAACTAGTGGGTTTGAAATGCTGACCTTGTGGCTCAAAGTCCAGCGCTGTACGTTTATCATTTCAAAAATGGTGTACAAAGTGGAGAGAGATAGTATATTGTCTTATGAGACTGCATTTTGTTTGTGTTTTCTCCTTCGTTTAGTATTACTCCCTGGTTATTCCTTTAGCTAGTTGCATGTATCAATACTTACTTTTTTTTTTTTTATCGCTAAGTAACATTTCTTATTATAGATCTACTACTCTTTACTCTGCAGTCTTGGTGTGGCGTTGTGGGTTAAAGCGCCAGAATGCAAAGCCGTTAGAACCGCAAGATCAGCGGTTCAAGCTCACCAGCTGCTCCTCGGAAACCCTATACCGGGTCGCTATGGGGCGGAACCGACTCGATGGCACTTCACAACAACAACCACTCTTTACTCTGGTAGAGTAGTGGTTACGAATCGGGCTGCTAACCTCAAGGTCAACAGTTCGAAACTACCAGCGGTCCCCACCCCCCCAGAAGAAAGATGAGGCATTCTGCTCCCATAAAGATATACAGCCTCGGAAACCCTGTGCGGGGTCACTATGAGTCGGAACCGACTCCACGGTACTTAACAACAACAACAACACTCTTTACTTTAGGAGTCCTGGTGTGGCGCTGTGCTGGACTGTAAGGCTGTTTGAACTGCAAGGACCGCGGTTCAAGCTCACCAGCTGTTTCTTGGAAACCCACACAAGATCACTATGGGTGGGAACTGACTCTACAGCATATAACAACACAACCATAGCTTTTACTTTATTTAACCATTACTTGAAGA